GTGGGTATAAGACAGAGTTCCCTCATGTGACACTCTTAGCTGGCACCTATGAAGGCCGGTACAGTACATGAGATAAACTAAAACTATGAAATTAAACTATTTCTATTTCACCAGCTCAGGCCACGCTGAGCTACGCAGTGGCTAGGAGCTCACCGAAGTGGCTTATCGCGTGCAGATTTATAGCGGCCACATTTTTCTAAATGTAAAGGGATAAACCGGAGGACCCAGAGAAAACTACACGCAATTACCAGGAGAACATGCAAACTCTAAACGTCAGTCGGGGATCGAACCCACGACCTCCTGTATACCAGGCGAGGTAGTTAACATCTCCTAGCCGCCGTAGCAGCGTGGCAAGCGTCACGCCCGACCGCTTTTGTCTCCCCAGTGCTCACTAGTTACTGATTTAAGGCTGAGTTGATGTAGGGGAGGCCCAAGAGTTCAAACATCACTTGCCACAGATGTTCTCCATGACCGGGAATCAAAATCAGGTCGCCAGGTTCATCACGCAGTGCACTGACCACTGTGCCGTCGCTCCCCAAAGTAACGTGACTCTTCTGCTTCGTGCACACACGCACCACACAAGGGTGTTTGCTCTCTAAGGCCAGTGTTGTAGGCGAGCTGGTAAGGTCATTGTTGTGGACTACACACACTCTACAACAACAACAACAACAGCCGCCATTTGCCACCAGGTGGTAGTGATGTCACCACAGCGCTTGTGCCAGGCTATGTCCAATCGGAGGCTATCACGTGCAGTTTGGAAGGCAAGAGATGATGGGACGGACCCGGGTGCTGTGTGTGTAGTCCACAAGCAATGACTCAGATGCTGTGACTTGGCTGAGATGACGCTCTCCTCTGTGTACCAACTTGCTACGTTTTAGCCGCCCGGCGCTCCGCTCATTGTCGTGAAACGGTACATCGCACAGCGGTACCCCCGTTGTGCGATGTACCGTTTCAACAGACTGTAGGGCCAAGTGCTGCTAGCGGGCACCTATTGCGGTGGCCACACGAGGAGGGGGGTGAGTGCCCGCCGCCACGCCCCACCGCCCTTGCGTCCCTCGTGGCGATATCCGAACATCGCTCCACGTACTCACTTGAGGCCAAGTCGACCAAGGGACGAGTTGAGATAATCGTCACCGGTGTTGACCCCGAGCGAGAATCGAGCTCGTGGTCAACCGGTTCCGTAGCGCGGCGCGCACTCGCCCCTGCACTGCCGCGCGCCACAATCCCATCGCACGCAAACGCACGGCGGCGTGCCCTCTCGACGTCGTCGCCCCCTCGTGCGCGTCGGCCACAGCAATACCTGCGCGCGGTGGAGGACGTGGCGTCGACGCGCGACGACTGCTACAAGTTCGCCATCTCGCAGTCGAGCGCGGGCACGGTGATCGGCACCGTCGTCATGGAGGGGCTCTACGTCGTCTTCGACCGCGCTGGCAGCGCGTCGGCTTTGCCGTCAGCCGCTGCTCAGGTGCGTCGTCGCACCCGCGTGCGGGTAAGAGATGCCTTTTCTGGGGGTGCGAGACATGACAGATTTATTTAGAAGGTAAATCATCGAAAACACAATGAACACGGGCACTTAAGTACAACTGCTTTGTTTCATCAACCCTATGTCTCTATAACTAAATTGTAGCGATTGACAACCAAAGGGGTTGGGGGGGGGGTACAGGCTCCAGCGAAGGTTAAGAACCACTGCATTAGCGATACGACATTTTGCTTGACACCAAAGCGGCTCTTACAGACAAGGTCCAAGCGAGGAAAGTCGACATACAATCCAGGAAGTCTAAATAGCGACTCGATTCTAAATGACGTTCGATCTTCACGTTTATTTGCGTGTCGCTTATTCGCACGCAAACGCGTGCCGGATTCTCTCCCTCCCTCCCTCCCCTCCCCCCCTCCCTCCCCCCCTCCCCCCCCCACCTGCAGTGCGAGGAGGCCCCGGGGACCCCCCCGGCGTGTGGGGCCCCTTCGTGCTGCCCGACGTGAACGTGGCGGAGTGCGCGCACAGCGCGGCGCCGTCCCACCAGGCGGCGCTGCTCACCGCCGCGTACGTCGCGGCCGCCACCTGCGCCCTCGTCGTGCTGCCCGTGTGCCTCCTGGTCGCGCCGCGGGGCCGGTGCTGCCGCTGCCGGCGCGGGGCCGGTGCGACAAACTTGGTGGCATTGCAGCTTCTTCCAGTGAGACAAGCGCTATCCATCACCCAGGAGTAGGGCAAGTACCTATTTTACCAGACCTGGAAGGATGATGGGCTGAGTTATGACTCTCTGTCTAGCATTAAAATTCATGACGTTTCCAATTGAGAGGCAGGAATTATTTTACAGCATCACCTGGCCACATGTATATATACGTGTGTGTGTGCGTACGTGTGTGTGTGCGTTGTGTGTGCGTACGTGTGTGTGTGTGCGTACGTGTGTGTGTTGCGGGGGAGCGGCAGCGTAGCGGTTAGCGCGCTGCACTGTGAACCTGGTGACCCGAGTTAGATTCCCGCTCGCAGCCAACACCAGTGGCGATTATCTGAACCAGTTATGGGCCTCCCCTAGGTGGACTCAGCCTCAAATGAGTACCTGGTGCGGTGTGTAAACATCGCCACTGGGGAGACAAAGGCGGTCGGGCGTGGTGCTGGCCACCCACCCCCTCGTGTGCCGTGCCGGCCTTCATAGGTGCTCGCTAACAGCACTTGCCCCTACAGTCTGTTAAGGCTACACGGGGGATCTTTGTCTTTGTTTACCGTGAGTGTATGTGGGGAGCAATGTCATCGTTCGTGGACCCGTCAGCCTTCACGTCACACCAGTGGCAACTGATGTTAGAACCTGGCCCGGCCCTGCCTTGCTCTATGTGTATATAACACACGTTAGCGCGTCGTGGGGTGTGCTGTTTCACATCTGCTTCATCGGTGCTCGCTGATGTCATTTCACTCCACCAAACTGTGACACTTGAGGGGAGACAGTGTTCTACACCAAGATCTACACACACGCGTACAAGTGTATAAACTCCATGCAATATAATGACACTTTATTTAAAACAAACTCTACAATATATTCATTCTGTAATTATATTTAGTCAACTTTGGTCTTTTTTAATTGTTTTCATTTTTCTGTCACAAAATAAAGCTCCTCATTGTGAAGGCTGAGCTGGAGCCTGCTGTTGCTGTATTTTGGCTGGCGCTCTGCGAGCCGCCATGAACATCACATGGCCTTGGAAATACATTTGAGCATATCAAATGGCTTGGGGTAATCGACTGAAGTTGCCTCTGGTGTGCAATGCGTTCGGCGTCGGATAAGGAAAACCCGTGGAAAACTGTTTTTGGGCCGCATTGAGATGTCTCCAGAGCAAATGTCCAGCATAGTTATGCGTGTGTCTGTGTGTGTGTCTCTGCATGTGTGTCTGTCTCTGTGTGTGTCTCTGTGTGTGTCTCTCTGTGTGTGTCTCTGTGTGTGTCTCTGTGTGTCTCTGCATGTGTCACTGCATGTGTCACTGTGTCTATGTGTGTGTGTGTGTCTGCATGTGTCACTGTGTCTGTGTGTGTCTGTGTGTGTCTTTGTGTCTCTGCATGTGCCACTGTGTCTGTGTGTGTGTGTCTGTGTGTTTGTGTGTCTCTGCATGTGTCACTGTGTCTATGTGTGTGTGTGTCTCTGCATGTGTCACTGTGTCTGTGTGTGTCTGTGTGTCTCTGCATGTGTCACTGTGTCTGTGTGTGTGTCTGTGTGTCTGTGTCTCTGCATGTGTCACTGTGTCTGTGTGTGTGTGTCTGTGTGTGTGTGTGTCTGTGTGTCTGTGTGTCTCTGCATGTGTCACTGTGTGTGTGTCTGTGTGTGTCTGTGTGTGTGTCTGTGTGTCTGTGTGTGTCTGTGTGTCTCTGCATGTTTCACTGTGTCTGTGTGTGTGTGTCTCTGCATGTGTCACTGTGTCTGTGTGTGTGTGTCTGTGTGTGTTGTCTCTGCATGTGTCACTGTGTCTGTGTGTGTGTGTCTGTGTGTGTGTCTCTGCATGTGTCACTGTGTCTGTGTGTGTGTGTCTGTGTGTGTGTGTGTCTCTGCATGTGTCACTGTGTCTGTGTGTGTGTGTCTGTGTGTGTCTGTGTGTCCCTGCATGTGTCACTGTGTGTGTCTGTGTCTGTGTGTGTGTGTGTCTGTGTGTGTGTCTGTCTGTATGTGTCTGTCTGTGTGTGTCTGTCTGTGTGTGTCTGTCTGTGTGTGTGTGTCAGTGTGTGTCTGTGTGTGTGTCTGTGTGTCTCTGCATGTGTCACTGTGTCTGTGTGTGTCTGTGTGTCTGTGTGTGCCTGTGTGTCTCTGCATGTGTCACTGTGTCTGTGTGTGTGTGTCTGTGTGTCTCTGCATGTGTCACTGTGTCTGTGTGTGTGTGTCTGTGTGTGTGTGTGTCTCTGCATGTGTCACTGTGTCTGTGTGTGTCTGCATGTGTCACTGTGTCTGTGTGTGTCTGTGTGTCTCTGTCACTGTGTCTGTGTGTCTGTGTGTGTGTGTGTCTGTGTGTGTGTGTCTGTGTGTCTCTGCATGTGTCACTGTGTCTGTGTGTGTGTGTCTGTGTGTGTCTGTGTGTGTCTGCATGTGTCACCGTGTCTGTGTGTGTCTGCATGTGTCACTGTGTCTGTGTGTGTGTCTGTGTGTCTGCATGTGTCACCGTGTCTGTGTGTGTCTGCATGTGTCACTGTGTCTGTGTGTGTGTGTCTGTGTGTGTGTGTGTCTGTGTGTGTGTGTCTGTGTGTCTCTGCATGTGTCACTGTGTCTGTGTGTCTGTGTGTGTGTGTCTCTGCATGTGTCACTGTGTCTGTGTGTCTCTGCATGTGTCACTGTGTCTGTGTGTGTGTGTCTGCATGTGTCACCGTGTCTGTGTGTGTCTGCATGTGTCACTGTGTCTGTGTGTGTGTCTGTGTGTCTGTATGTGTCACTGTGTGTGTGTCTGTGTGTGTCTGTGTGTGTCTGCATGTGTCACTGTGTCTGTGTGTGTGTCTCTGCATGTGTCACTGTGTCTGTGTGACTGCCAAGTTGTCCTTATTTTCGTTGCCTTCTGATGAGTCCAGCAGAGACACTCCCTGCACACCGGGTCGCACAAAGACAAAGATCCCCGTGTAGCTTTAACAGACTGTAGGGGCAAGTGCTGTTAGCGAGTAGCACCTATGAAGGCCGGCACGGCACACGAGGGGGTGGGTGGCCAGCACCACTCCCGGCCGCCTTTGTCTCCCCAGTGCCCGATGATGCTGGATGCAATTACCAGCGAAACGTCGTGCTACTCAAACATTGTAAATGTTGTGGTTTCACGCTTCAACACACCGGTGGGCTAAAGCAGTGAACTCTTTTGTCTTTTGTCAACGTGACAATTTTTTACTGATTGGCCGTGTCGGGTGGTGGAGGGTTACGACACATTTATAAATAACGCAGCGATCTCACCCAAAACACGTTGATTACGAATAATAAGCCTGCTACGAGTTAAACTGAGCAGTTACGTTGTGACCAGTGTAGCTACTAGCCTGGTGGTCACCGACACAGCTTGTAATTCTGTTAAGGGGAAAGTTACCCCGTGTGTTGGAACTGAATCAATGTGTTGCCTCCAAGGCAGTTGAACCCATCGCACTTACAGTTTACAATCCTGTTGCCGGCTTCTCCATTTAAATACTCCCACAAACGCCTTCGCCGAGAGAATGAACGCCGGCGCGGGATTTGGCGGGGAAACCAAAACCGCCGCCGTTTCGGATAAAAAAGGCCCTGGCACGTCCCGCTCACTTTGCCGTCGGGGGGAATGTCTGTGGCGTCGCTATCGAAGCGCACGGAGGGGCGGACGAGTGACGGGGGGTCGTGTACCGTGCGGTGGCGCCAACCGAGCGGTGGCACTCGCTCACGGTGGCACCGGGCTCTGCAGGGTGTGCAGGATCCTGCGCGCCTTCTCCGTCATCAACGCTTGGTCCTCCGTCTTGCCGCACGCCACCGCCTCCCACTCCTCGCTCATCTGTGCGGGCGGGGGGTCAAAGATTGTCACCGCCGCGTCACCAACCCTCGCTACCCTGTCAGATCCAATGCTGCTGCTGCTGCACTATTAGACACTCACATTTAAGTGGAATAAAAACATCTTCATATATACCATGTATCGTCGATGCAGCCAATGGTGACTGGGCTGTTACCCTCAAACTCATTATACAAGATCGTGTGTTGCTTGACGGGTGCGATGTATAAATGTGAGTATGAATGATATTATTGTAAGACCCAGGATGGCATCTGTACTGGCCCAATGCTGACACAGGCCTCAGCTCTCTGTGCCACCAAGCTCCCTCAGGAGATTGTCAGTCCACGTGTGGCAACGTTGCCTTTAGCACAACACCATCATCATCATTATTATTTCAACTGAAAATAATTCATGGTGTAGTTGGGAGCTGAAAACACAAAGATATGGAAACAATCTGAATCGACAAGCTTTGCACCGGGTGCATGAATCGTATTAAGTAACTAATGTCGCTCACTCTCAAGCAGCAGGCGCGTCGCGTGGAAGAGGCGCATTGCAGCCCAATAATGAAACGCAAAAAATAGCACACACACAAAAAGGTGATTCATACTAATTATGGCAAGCGATGTCATGATTGTAATGAGTGTGTATGTGCAATTCAAGCATGCATGCACTGCTGTGTGGGAACAAACAAAAAGAGATAATTAGTGTTGCTTTCCAGCACTGCACTATGGCTAATGACAGCTCATTATTATAACAGATGAGAATGGTCCCAGCCACAAGGAGAGTGGCACGGAGCGTGCACATCCTGAGACAAGCACGCTGCTGCTCCGCAGTGGCAGAGCGGGGAGAGATCATTCAAACTCTGCACTCACATCGATTGTATTGGTAAAGAGACAATAGCAAAAATTGGTTTTCTGTATCGACACAAGCACTGCTTCCCCCCCTATGTTCCGCTTGGAATTGATCAAAGCTACCGTACTGCCTCTACTTGATTCCTGTGACATCGTGTATAAATCAGCCCCAAGTACTGTACTGAAGAAGCTTGACTCAAAATGTATCACTCGGCCTTAAGATTTGCATTGAACTGCCCATATAGGACTCACCACTGAGATCTCTACATTGGGTCAAACTTAACGTCTCTTAATGATCGACGGCTTGTGCACCAGATCTTATTTATTCACGATGCACTTACAAGAAATCAGCAGACTACCTGCCGGATCTCCTCGCTGTTTCGAAGAACAAATGTGACCTCAGGTCTTTGCTCATTTATCAGCTTCACGTTCCTTATCGCCGTACAAATACTGGAGGAAGGGCCTTTGCTATTGATGCCGCCAGGGTCTGGAATGCTATCGCCAATAAATTGCAACTTGGATCACTACCTCTGAGATCTTCACTCAAACTGCTCTAGAGGAGTTGTACGCCCATAGCTGCCACTGCTATTCAGAATGGCCTGCAATCAAATGTATCATTCTGGATGACCGCTGCAAAGTATGATCTTGAGTTTTGATTATGGTGTGCTGATCATTAAAGGTGTATTGAAAAATTTAGATTCTGCTACTGATACTCCTGCTGTTATGGAGCGACTCATGCAGCCAACTATGGCTGCAAAGTTTGGTCGTACATGTTATGTATCTCGTTTATTGTTACATTTGAATCACAGTTCCTGTGAACACTTTTACATTGTTTTCATAGCTTTATTTTGGTGATTTTGAAAACGTTTTGGTTTAGCCATATTTGTTTTTTTATAGTACAGAGTTAGCCTGATAACTTGAATCTAAATTGTCTTATGGGTGTTATTGTTTGACTTGCATCCCGCTGGGATTTTTTGCACACAGCGTTGAAACACGGTGGTTTTGTGTGCAGTCGGAAAGACAGCGTCAAATCAGACGTCATTCAGACGCTGTCTTTCCGACAGACCTGTTCTTCACCTGAGGACGGCTGCTTGCGTTGTGGCCGAAACGTCGTGAGAATTGTATTTTATTATGTTTTGTTTTTATTGTTTTATTATTTCCCTTCTACGTGATGACTTTACCGAAAGAAGCAAGAAGACGAACTAAACTGTGCTTATTTGACCAGCTAGGGCCCGCTGAGCTGTATAGCTCTTCTTCAGAAGCGGCTTGGCCACAAACTGCAGCTCGACAAAAGTGGCTCGTCGTCACGTGGAGATGTTTCGCAGCCGAACACTGTACATGCACGCCGACTCCAAATGTGGAGGGAGAAACCCGAGGACCTGGAGTAAAATCCACGGGGAGAGAGACACACAAACTCCAAATAAACAGCAGGTGTCAGGTATGGGATAGAAGCCACAACCTTCTACATCCCTGGCGAGGGAGTTAACGTCTCCTGGCCACCGCGGCGCTGCAATCGCCGTGTGGTGAAGGTGCTCACCTTCCAGGGGTTACCGGTTTTGGCCGAGCGGAGGCCGGTGAATCTCCCCGGGGTGTCCTGCAACGAGGACGCATCCTTCCCCAGCAGCTCCAGCAGCTCCTGCAGCACCAGCTGGGAAGGTGTCTGAGGCTGCAAACGACCCAATTACGCAATGGGATTATGCACCCAGCACCATTGCTCTCGAATGCAAAAACTTAGCAGGAACCCTCCTGGCAAAAAGTGTCTCCAGACCTTAATCCCATAGAAAATCTGTGGAGGGAGCTGAAGGTTCGAGTTGCCAAACGTCAGCCTCGAAACCTTAATGACTTGGAGAAGATCTGCAAAGAGGAGTGGGACAAAATCCCTCCTGAGATGTGTGCAAACCTGGTGGCCAACTACAAGAAACGTCTGACCTCTGTGATTGCCAACAAGGGTTGTGTCACCAAGTACTAAGTCATGTTTTGCAGAGGGGGTCAAATACTTATTTCCCTCATTAAAATGCAAATCAATTTATAACATTTTTGACTTGCGTCTTTCTGGATTTTGTTGTTATTCTGTCTCTCACTGTTCAAATAAACCTACCATTACAATTATAGACTGATCATTTCTTTGTCAGTGGGAAAACGTACAAAATCAGCAGGGGATCAACTACTTGTTTCCCTCACTGTACTCCTGCCATGTATCATCAAATTGCCGGCACCACGTGACTCTGTGCTACAGCCTTGTAAGAGAAAGCACATGTTCTTGCTGTGCACCAGAGTGAGTCACGGGGGGACTACCGCCATCGTTTTCTGAGGACTGCTTAGCTCTATGAGACCTCCTTTACCAGTGGCAAGATAGTGATAGGTTTTTACCCTTTCAACTGGTACAAAAACTGACACCTTTATACAAGGGATCATGTTGTGTACCAGTTGAAAGGGTAAAAACCTATTACTATATTTTGCCACTGGTAAAGGAGATGTCTCATAGTGTAAATGCTTACCCTGAGCTCGCAATACTCTGATGGTGCGCTGTCTTTGAGTTGTACGCCTGTTGGCGTCATCTGGTCCAACACCAATGGAGACTAGGCTCTAAGAAAAGCTGTCTCGGGTGTGGACCAATCAACTTCAAGGACAGTGCATATCATTATTATCATTATCAGAGTTGTTTCTTTTTGTTTGCATTTTGACTGCTTGTGTTGTGGTTATTGCAAACATGATGCCTTGTATAAAGGTGTCAGTTTTTGTACCAGTTGAAAGGGTAAAAACCCATCACCATATTTTGCCACTGCTAAAGGAGATGTCTCATAGTGTAAACGCCTTGAGTGCGCCCAATCTTGCCAAATCTCTCAGAATCCAGATGGGATTGAGGGCCCAGATAGTCCTTGGATGGGCAAACCACCATGGACCAGTGTTCTAAGCTGTGGGGCTTGCGTGGTGGGCAGCAGAGGCCCACGCAGCAACATCCGTTGTTGAACTGCGCATTTAAACGACCACCTCTTTGCTCGCCTCTTGCACTGAAGTATGGTCAGCCCAAGACCCGCACAGACGAGGCCATCATCCAGCAGCCGATTAACAAATGGGTTGTAGGCACACATATCATAACTACAAATGCTGATGATCACAAGATGTTAACTACCTCGCCTGGCATACAGGAGGTCGTGGATTCCATCCCGACCCTGATGCCTGCTGCTGTATATTTGGAGTTTGCGTGTCTCTCTCTCATCATCATCACGGTGGCTAGGAGATGTTAACTACCTCGCCTGGTATACAGAAGGTCGCGGATTCCATCCCGACCCTGACGCCTGCTGCTGTATATTTGGAGTTTGCGTGTCTCTCTCTCATCATCATCACGGTGGCTAGGAGATGTTAACTACCTCGCCTGGTATACAGAAGGTCGCGGATTCCATCCCGACCCTGACGCCTGCTGCTGTATATTTGGAGTTTGCGTGTCTCTCTCTCATCATCATCACGGTGGCTAGGAGATGTTAACTACCTCGCCTGGTATACAGAAGGTCGCGGATTCCATCCCAACCCTGACGCCTGCTGCTGTATATGTGGAGTTTGCATGTGTCTCCCCGTGGTCGCGTGGATTTTTCTCCGGGTACTCCGGCTTTTCCCTCCACATTTAGAAACGTGATCTCGAGTATTTGGCTGCTATAATTTCGACACGATGATGATGACGATGATGATGATGAGCCCCTTCGTTGGGCTGTCATGTGCAATGGCCAGGTCACTTCTGAGAAAGAGGCACACAACTCGGCGGAGCCCTTAGCTGGTGAAATAGAAAATAGTTTAATAGTTTACTACGGGTCGACGTACGGCGAGCGTGAAAACAAACGCTGAATAACCATCATAGCCCTCACCATCAGCTTGACGGGGCCGTACTTGCTCTCATGGGCTGCCAGCGCTTGCTTGACCGGCGTGGGGGTGCGGGGCGGTCCCAGGATGGAGCGCCGGATGTTGGAAGTGCGGCAGCTGTCAGCGGTGACAAAAGAGCGGCCTGCCGCGTAATCCCGTACGGCAGAAACGTTCGTGGCAGCAAACATCGTCAGTTTCTCTTCCGATTCTGTTCCGGTGACGTGCGTGCACATCCTCAAAATGACACCACCGGAAGGAAAACTAAAATAAAACAACTTTTTCGGTACCGAGGCTCCCACAAGGCCATGCGGGAGGGGGGCGTGTGGCACAGTTTGGCTGCCAGCTGTTGTAGAGTGGCGGTGGTCGTGTCGCGATGGTTTGTCTGCGGTGAGTAACAATGTCTTTAAAAACAACGGTGTTACGCTTCTCGCAAGTTCTGAGATTTAGTGGTCAACGGGACACCCACCACCCTGCAACTTGCAGATGTCTCGGAACGGTGAAAGGCTTCGCTTGCAAAGAATAGGAATGTCCCAAGGTGGTGAGGTTACTCAGTTAGCTGAGCCGGCACCACTGATATCCTGGGTTTGGATCTGGATTTCATCCATCCGACATGAAACCAGCCGGGTTCTCAAGGGGTGTGGTGATGTTCTCAGCACAACTGCACACGGAAACAGTCCTTCACGATAAATTAGTTCTCCCATCAATTTGAGTAAATTTCAGCTCACACAATGCCTGTCATGCGATGAACCTCAATATCAAACATTCACTTTGAGAATGAGAAATGTCGCCACACCAGGAAGGAACAGGGGAAAGTAGAAACAGAGGGGTGGAGGAACAGAGGGGTGGAGGGACAGAGGGGTGGAGGGACAGAGGGGTGGAGGGACAGAGGGGTGGAGGATCAGAGGAGTGGAGGGACAGAGGGGTGGAGGATCAGAGGGGTGGAGGAACAGAGGGGTGGAGGATCAGAGGGGTGGAGGAACAGAGGGGTGGAGGGACAGAGGGGTGGAGGGACAGAGGGGTGGAGGAACAGAGGGGTGGAGGGACAGAGGGGTGGAGGGACAGAGGGGTGGAGGATCAGAGGGGTGGAGGGACAGAGGGGTGGAGGAACAGAGGGGTGGAGGGACAGAGGGGTGGAGGAACAGAGGGGTGGAGGAACAGAGGGGTGGAGGGACAGAGGGGTGGAGGGACAGAGGGGTGGAGGAACAGAGGGGTGGAGGGACAGAGGGGTGGAGGGACAGAGGGGTGGAGGGACAGAGGGGTGGAGGAACAGAGGGGTGGAGGGACAGAGGGGTGGAGGGACAGAGGGGTGGAGGAACAGAGGGGTGGAGGATCAGAGGGGTGGAGGGACAGAGGGGTGGAGGGACAGAGGGGTGGAGGGACAGAGGGGTGGAGGGACAGAGGGGTGGAGGGACAGAGGGGTGGAGGATCAGAGGGGTGGAGGGACAGAGGGGTGGAGGGACAGAGGGGTGGAGGGACAGAGGGGTGGAGGGACAGAGGGGTGGAGGGACAGAGGGGTGGAGGGACAGAGGGGTGGAGGGACAGAGGGGTGGAGGGACAGAGGGGTGGAGGGACAGAGGGGTGGAGGGACAGAGGGGTGGAGGAACAGAGGGGTGGAGGAACAGAGGGGTGGAGGAACAGAGGGGTGGGGGAACAGAGGGGTGGAGGGACAGAGGGGTGGAGGGACAGAGGGGTGGAGGAACAGAGGAGTGGAGGGACAGAGGGGTGGAGGGACAGAGGGGTGGAGGGACAGAGGGGTGGAGGAACAGAGGGGTGGAGGAACAGAGGGGTGGAGGAACAGAGGGGAGGAGGAACAGAGGGGTGGAGGACAGAGGGGTGGAGGAACAGAGGGGTGGAGGAACAGAGGGGAGGAGGAACAGAGGAGTGGAGGGACAGAGGGGTGGAGGGACAGAGGGGTGGAGGAACAGAGGGGAGGAGGAACAGAGGAGTGGAGGGACAGAGGGGTGGAGGATCAGAGGGGTGGAGGAACAGAGGGGTGGAGGGACAGAGGGGTGGAGGAACAGAGGGGTGGAGGATCAGAGGGGTGGAGGGACAGAGGGGTGGAGGAACAGAGGGGAGGAGGGACAGAGGAGTGGAGGGACAGAGGGGAGGAGGGACAGAGGGGTGGAGGAACAGAGGAGTGGAGGGACAGAGGGGTGGAGGGACAGAGGGGTGGAGGAACAGAGGGGTGGAGGAACAGAGGGGTGGAGGAACAGAGGGGTGGAGGATCAGAGGGGTGGAGGAACAGAGGGGTGGAGGAACAGAGGGGAGGAGGGACAGAGGAGTGGAGGGACAGAGGGGAGGAGGGACAGAGGGGTGGAGGAACAGAGGAGTGGAGGGACAGAGGGGTGGAGGGACAGAGGGGTGGAGGGACAGAGGGGTGGAGGATCAGAGGGGTGGAGGAACAGAGGGGTGGAGGGACAGAGGGGTGGAGGATCAGAGGGGTGGAGGATCAGAGGGGTGGAGGAACAGAGGGGTGGAGGAACAGAGGGGAGGAGGGACAGAGGAGTGGAGGGACAGAGGGGAGGAGGGACAGAGGGGTGGAGGAACAGAGGAGTGGAGGGACAGAGGGGTGGAGGGACAGAGGGGTGGAGGGACAGAGGGGTGGAGGATCAGAGGGGTGGAGGAACAGAGGGGTGGAGGAACAGAGGGGTGGAGGATCAGAGGGGTGGAGGGACAGAGGGGTGGAGGGACAGAGGGGTGGAGGATCAGAGGGGTGGAGGGACAGAGGGGTGGAGGAACAGAGGGGTGGAGGAACAGAGGGGTGGAGGGACAGAACAGAGGGGTGGAGGGACAGAGGGGTGGAGGGACAGAGGGGTGGAGGGACAGAGGGGTGGAGGATCAGAGGGGTGGAGGAACAGAGGGGTGGAGGGACAGAGGGGTGGAGGGACAGAACAGAGGGGTGGAGGATCAGAGGGGTGGAGGGACAGAGGGATGGAACAGAGGGGTGGAGGAACAGAGGGGAGGAGGAACAGAGGGGAGGAGGAACAGAGGGGAGAAGGATCAGAGGGGTGGAGGATCAGAGGGGTGGAGGATCAGAGGGGTGGAGGGTCAGAGGGGTGGAGGGTCAGAGGGGTGGAGGAACAGAGGGGTGGAGGAACAGGGCAGAGGGAACGTACGCTTTGCCACCACCCTTGGAGGGCTTTGGCGTGTGGTCCCTCTGCAGTGGCGTGGTGACCTCCACCTTGTGGCTGCACACAGGGGTAGAGGTGAGCGACGGGCACAAATCCACCTTCAAGTTCAGGAACTGCACGCACGGGGGGCACAACCACGCAGCGGCACCAATCGCGCAACGTCTGGCTCGAGGCTACCAACGTCCTCGAAATGAACGTATTTGACAGTACATCGGTGGTGCACGGTATAAAAAAAAGGCTTTTTTTCTCTCACAATTATTATTTCTTTTCCTGCGATTCGCAACCCCGGTCAGAAAATATTGCGTGGGAGTGGTGGTGGTGCGGCAAAATCAGTTCTCGTCATGCTGAAGCGGTCGGAAGGAGACGAATGTTATGAGCGGCCGTACAGCAACACCCAGCCTGATGAAGATTGGCTGGCCCAGTGTTCCAAAGGCAGATTTCACTAAACTTGGTCGGACGATTCCTCGATTCAACGGTACCCAAATCAATGGTCAACCTTGACCTGGGAATCGCGTCAATTGAAGACCGCTATACATATCTGCCGATTCAAATTTCCATTTCAGACTGTTTTACAGGGACCGGTGTGTTATGCTGCACCGGTGTACCGACAAAACGTCTAATTATCAGTATCAAGATCATCGCCCCCTCCTGGCAGACTAATGCCGATCCAGGTGCCGGGTCATCTTGGGCTGCATAGGCACAGCTGCCAATACGGGGATCTGTGTCGTGAAGTGATAGAGCACGCAAACTCCAAACGTACAGCAGGTGTCACGGTCGTCATCGAACCCACAACCTCCTGCATACCGGGCGAGGTAGTTAACATCTCCTAGCCACCGTGATGATGATAAGAGAGACACGCAAACTCCAAACGTACAGCAGGCGTCAGGGTCGGGATCGAACCCACAACCTCCTGAATACCGGGCGAGGTAGTTAACATCTCCTAGCCACCGTGATGATGATAAGAGAGACACGCAAACTCCAAACGTACAGCAGGCGTCAGGGTCGGGATCGAACCCACAAACTCCTGAATACCGGGCGAGGTAGTTAACATCTCCTAGCCACCGTGATGATGATAAGAGAGACACGCAAACTCCAAACGTACAGCAGGCGTCAGGGTCGGGATCGAACCCACAACCTCCTGAATACCGGGTGAGGTAGTTAACATCTCCTAGCCACCGTGATGATGATAAGAGAGACACGCAAACTCCAAACGTACAGCAGGCGTCAGGGTCGGGATCGAACCCACAAACTCCTGAATACCGGGCGAGGTAGTTAACATCTCCTAGCCACCGTGATGATGATAAGAGAGACACGCAAACTCCAAAAGTACAGCAGGCGTCAGGGTCGGGATCGAACCCACAACCTCCTGCATACCGGGCGAGGTAGTTAACATCTCCTAGCCACCGTGATGATGATAAGAGAGACACACAAACTCCAAACGTACAGCAGGCGTCAGGGTCGGGATCGAACCCACAACCTCCTGAATACTGGGCGAGGTAGTTAACAAGAAGCAGCAAAGGGGGTGGGGGGCCATGCTACCTGCGACGGGGAGAAGGGGAGCTTCTTGAGGGGCGTGCTTTTGCGAGTGTCCTGCGGTTCGCTCATCTCGTCCGTCAGCGGCGACGAGAAGGCGGGGGGGAGGAGTGGCTGAGCCCGCGCACGCTCCTGCGCCTCAGGATGGTGGGAGGGCTGCTGAACTTGACGGTGACCGTGGGCGTCGTCAGCAGAGGCACCTCCACCTCGGGAGTAATTTGCGGCAGCTGCTTCGAGTTGGCCTGGGAATGGAATACAAGGCAAGGGTCAATGTCACGTGTGATAGTAGGCCTCGGCAAGGTACGGTAAAAAATAGAATGTTTTTACCCTTTTATCTGGCAAATGCTTACCCTGAGCTCTCATACTCTGATGGTGCTTTGTCTTTGAGTTGTGCGCCTTTTGGCGTCATCTGGTCCAACTCCATATGAGACTAGGCTCTAAGGAAAGCTGTCTCGGGTGTGGACCAATCAACTTCAAGGACAGTGCACACATTATCAGAGTTATGTTTTTTATTTGCATTACGACTGCAGGTATTGTGGTCTATGCAAACATGACTCCTTGTAAAAAAAGGTGTCAGTTTTGTAGCCAGATAAAAGGGTAAAAAAACAATTATCAAGGTACGGTAAATTACCTATTTTACCGGGTAAAAGGGTAAAGGTTTCGACATGCCAAGGGGTAAGGTACAGGATAGGTTAAAGGTAGCTCAGAAGAATTACCTGGGAGGGTAAAGGTAGCACGAATTACCCGGTAAATACGGTACCTTGTTTACCGCTAAAAGCTCCGTGGCGCAGTCCGTGGCCTCCATTATAAATTGCGATCATTGATGTCGGACCAGATGGAGACGGTCCACGTCCTTGAGGCAGAGGCACTAGCGGACGAGGTCAAGGATGCCAGCAACGGCATCTTTGGGGTTGCTGCGAACAGCAATCGAAGGAGGCAGCGGCAAGCGTTCCCGTGGGAGCACACGCACCGTTGGATGGAGGGTGATCCCCGGCAAGGCAAGTGGTTTTCCACCCACACGAAGAACGCGTCGGGGTGGAAAGCCCACCTCAAGAAGCACCACGTGCTGGCACCAGGCGGCGGGGTCGGGTCGTTGGCGTCGGCGAGCCGCCTAAAGCAGCAAACTCTGAGCCGGCCAGCAATCCCGGATCGCCTCCTGGCAAAGTTTGAGAACGCGGCGGTTGATTTTGTTATCCGAGGCGCGATCTCTGTGGAGGAGCCGCCGGCAGCGACAAGTTCCAGCCCTTGGTCAGCAGCACATTGACGCAGGGATACGAGGCCCGTCGATGGTTGACGAGATCGCCATCGACCACCGGGACGAGGAGGTCATGGAGGGCCGTGTCGTCGACAGCCTCAACGCCCGATTCCAGAGTATTCTATCTGAATAAAGCGCTCTACCTACAGTTTTTACCGTTATAACACCTTGTTCACGTGTTGTAGTACCCCAGTAATGTCCCTGTAATTGGGTTATTTGCATGGGGTAAGGGTAAAAGGTAGGGTAAAGGTAGGCTCGTTTTTTTTACCGTTTAACTTTGACCTTACCTTGCCGAGGGCTATGTAATAGCAATAACACCGCGTTATGTTTGCAAGCCGCTGTTGTTGCAAGTCGCAGATTAAGCCTCGCGGCACACGGAGGCACGGAAGACACCACAGCCAAAGTGGGAGGCAGTCAGAACCGGCGCCAATAATTGCAAACGATAGTCGTGATATTGGGATGCTTGACCAACTCCATTCTCGAGTGTTGTTGATGCACGTGGGAGGGGACCAGAGTACACCCACGGAAACATCGCGGGCGCCAGAGGCCGCGCTCTTCATTGCCAGGGCCGCGAGGCCACTGACGGCCCCCGACACAGTCGAGGAGACACAAACAGTGAAAATACCCCTCCCCCCATGTCATCAAACGTGCGGCGTCCCTCCTCGCACTGACGATGTCTTGTCGGCGAAAGTGGGCCCTCCTGTGAAGATGACGAGTCAAGAACATTGCGCTAAGGGGTAACGCCGCTAACGGAGGGAAGAGACGCAGAGAAGGGCTGCGTGCAGAACGAGAGAGAGCCAGAGAGAGAGAGCGAGAGAGGTGGGGGTTTAACATAAAGCCAAGTTAAAAAATTTACAAAAATTACGAAATGATGAACGAAGCAAAGTACCGAATACACCGAGCATCTTCTTGTTTCCACTGATCGTAAACAAAACGAGACGGAGAGAGAGAGAGGTGGTGGGGGGGAGAGAGAGAGACAGTGCGAGTGCGACGTACGGGCGTGCCGGGATGACCGTCTCTTCCAGCAGCTCGGCCAGCTCATCGAGTCCTCGAAAAGCATTTCGTGGACAGACACGAGCGCAGGTAGCGAGAGACGCGACGAGATGGTGACCACCGGGACACGGACGAGACACGGGCACACGCTGACGCAGCAGTCAAGGAGACGTGACGCGTCACTCGCAATGAGGCTGAGCGACGAGACGCAAAGTCGCGCTCACCGGCGGTGACGTCACAGCGCGCGGCGGTGACGTCACAGCGCGCGGCGATAACGTCACAGCGCACGGCGGTGACGTCACAGCGCACGGCGGTGACGTCACAGCGCACGGCGGTGACGTCACAGCGCGCGGCTGTGGGCGTAAGTCGGCGGGGGACGTCCGTTGGTGACGTCACGCGATTTTGGCGCGTCCATTCGAGGCACAGGAAATCAGGAGATCCAGTCCGGGAAAAGGGAATCCAGTCCGGGTCATAGGAAGTCAACACAGGCAGACCGAGTCCAGTCCAGGAACAGTGAATCCGGTCCGGGCATAGGAAGTCCAGTCCGGGCATAGTGAGTCCAGTCCGGGCATAGTGAGTCCACTCCAGGCATAGGGAGTCCAGTCCGGACATAGGAAGTCCAGTCCGGGCATAGTGAGTCCAAGTCCGGGCATAGAAAGTCCAGTCCGGACATAGGAAGTCCAGTCCGGGCATAGTGAGTCCAGTCCGGGCATAGGAAGTCCAGTCCGGACATAGTGAAAGTGAGTCCAGTCCGGGCATAGGGAGTCCAAGTCCGGGCATAGGAAGTCCAGTCCGGGCATAGTGAAAGTGAGTCCAGTCCGGGCATAGGAAGTCCAGTCCGGGCACAGTGAATCCAGTCCGGGTCACAGGAAGTCCAGTCCGGGCACAGTGAATCCAGTCCGGTTCACAGGAAGTCCAGTCCGGGCACAGTGAATCCAGTCCGGGTCACAGGAAGTCCCCACAGGCAGAGCGCGTGGAGTCTGTTGGGGGGGAGTGACGTTTCTGCTGTTCCCGCTTCACGGCAAAGTGGCGCTGTGGAGGTGAGCAGAGAGCAGCCACTCACCAATGTGTAGAGTCACATTGGTGAGTCTGTGGGGAGTGGGTGGGGGGGGGGTGAGTGGGTGGTGGGGTGAGTGGGGTGAGTGGTGGGGTGAGTGTGTGGTGAGTGGGTGGTGGGGTGAGTGGTGGGGTGAGTGTGTGGTGAGTGGGGTGAGTGTGTGGTGAGTGGGGTGAGTGGTGGGGTGAGTGGGTGGTTGGGTGAGTGGTGGGTGAGTGGTGGGGTGAGTGGGTGGTGGGGTGAGTCTGTGGGGAGTGGGTGGTGGGGTGAGTGTGTGGTGAGTGAGGTGAGTGTGTGGTGAGTGGGTGGTGAGTGGGGTGAGTGGGTGGTGGGGTGAGTGTGTGGTGAGTGGGTGGTGAGTGGGGTGAGTGTTTGGTGAGTGGGTGGTTGGGTGAGTGGTGGGTGAGTGGTGTGGTGAGTGGGTGGTTGGGTGAGTGGGGTGAGTGTGTGGTGAGTGGGTGGTTGGGTGAGTGGGTGGTTGGTGGGGTGAGTGGGTGGTTGGGTGAGTGGTGGGTGTGTGGTGGGGTGAGTGGGTGGTGAGTGGGGTGAGTGTGTGGTTGGGTGAGTGGTGGGTGAGTGGTGGGGTGAGTGTGTGGGGTGAGTGCGTGGTGAGTGGGTGGTTGGGTGAGTGGTGGGTGAGTGGTGGGGTGAGTGGGTGGTGGGGTGAGTCTATGGGGAGTGGGTGGTGGGGTGAGTGGGTGGTGGGGTGAGTGGTGGGGTGAGTGTGTGGTGAGTGGGGTGATTGGGTGAGTGGTGGGGTGAATGTGTGGTGAGTGGGGTGAGTGTGTGGTGAGTGGGTGGTGAGTGGGTGGTGGGGTGAGTGGTGGGGTGAGTGGGGTGATTGGGTGAGTGGTGGGTGGTGTGTGGGGTGAGTGGGTGGTGAGTGGGGTGAGTGGGTGGTGAGTGGGTGGTTGGGTGAGTGTGTGGTGAGTGGGTGGTGAGTGGGGTGAGTCTGTGGGGAGTGGGTGGTGGGGTGAGTGGTGGGGTGAGTGTGTGGTGAGTGGGGTGAGTGTGTGGTGGGTGGGGTGAGTGTGTGGTGAGGGGGTTGTGAGTGGGGTGAGTGGGTGGTGAGTGGGTGGTGGGGTGAGTGTGTGGTGAGTGGGTGGTGGGGTGAGTGGTGGGGTGAGTGTGTGGTGAGTGGGGTGAGTGTGTGGTGAGTGGGTGGTGGGGTGAGTGGTGGGTGAGTGTGTGGTGAGTGGGGTGAGTGGGTGGTGGGGTGAGTGGTGGGGTGAGTGGTGGGGTGAGTGTGTGGTGAGTGGGGTGAGTGTGTGGTGAGTGAGTGATGGGGTGAGTGGTGGGGTGAGTGTGTGGAGAGTGGGGTGAGTGTGTGGTGAGTGGGTGGTGGGGTGAGTGGTGGGTGAGTGTGTGGTGAGTGGGGTGAGTGGGTGGTGGGGTGAGTGGTGGGGTGAGTGGTGGGGTGAGTGTGTGGTGAGTGTGGTGTGTGGTGAGTGAGTGGTGGGGTGAGTGGTGGGGTGAGTGTGTGGTGAGTGGGATGAGTGTGTGGTGAGTGGGTGGTGGGGTGAGTGGTGGGGTGAGTGTGTGGTGAGTGGGGTGAGTGTGTGGTGAGTGGGTGGTGGGGTGAGTGGGGTGAGGGTGTGGTGAGTGGGTGGTTGGGTGAGTGGTGGGATGAGTGGGTGGTGGGGTGAGTCTATGGGGAGTGGGTGGTGGGGTGAGTGGTGGGGTGAGTGGGTGGTGGGGTGAGTGGGGTGATTGTGTGGTGAGTGGGGTGATTGGGTGAGTGGTGGGGTGAGTGGTGGGGTGAGTGGTGGGGTGAGTGGGTGGTTGGGTGAGTGGTGGGTGAGTGGTGGGGCGAGTGGGTGGTGGGGTGAGTCTATGGGGAGTGGGTGGTGGGGTGAGTGTGTGGTGAGTGGGTGGTGGGGTGAGTGGTGGGTGAGTGTGTGGTGAGTGGGGTGAGTGGGTGGTGGGGTGAGTGGTGGGGTGAGTGGTGGGGTGAGTGTGTGGTGAGTGGGATGAGTGTGTGGTGAGTGGGTGGTGGGGTGAGTGGTGGGGTGAGTGTGTGGTTAGTGGGATGAGTGTGTGGTGAGTGGGTGGTGGGGTGAGTGGTGGGGTGAGTGTGTGGTGAGTGGGGTGAGTGTGTGGTGAGTAGGTGGTGGGGTGAGTGGGGTGAGGGTGTGGTGAGTGGGTGGTTGGGTGAGTGGTGGGATGAGTGGGTGGTGGGGTGAGTCTATGGGGAGTGGGTGGTGGGGTGAGTGGTGGGGTGAGTGGGTGGTGGGGTGAATGGGGTGATTGTGTGGTGAGTGGGGTGATTGGGTGAGTGGTGGGGTGAGTGGTGGGGTGAGTGGTGGGGTGAGTGGGTGGTTGGGTGAGTGGTGGGTGAGTGGTGGGGCGAGTGGGTGGTGGGGTGAGTCTATGGGGAGTGGGTGGTGGGGTGAGTGTGTGGTGAGTGGGTGGTGGGGTGAGTGGTGGGTGAGTGTGTGGTGAGTGGGGTGAGTGGGTGGTGGGGTGAGTGGTGGGGTGTGTGGTGAGTGTGTGGTGAGTGAGTGGTGGGGTGAGTGGTGGGGTGAGTGGTGGGGTGAGTGTGTGGTGAGTGGGATGAGTGTGTGGTGAGTGGGTGGTGGGGTGAGTGGTGGGGTGAGTGTGTGGTGAGTGGGGTGAGTGTGTGGTGAGTGGGTGGTGGGGTGAGTGGTGGGGTGAGTGTGTGGTGAGTGGGGTGAGTGTGTGG